AACATTATCTATTTAATCAACTTAAACCATGTCATCATTCTTTTAAGATATATATCATCATTTTTTCAAGACATACCATAGTTTTAAACCAATAGAATTAGAACAAATAAGTTCTTTTACTAATTGTACTTCCCTTTCACTTTTAATAGTAATGGGATTTTTTTAAGGTCAAACTGAAACTTCTTAAATGAGGTATATTCCATTCGTACAAGACGATTGCAACGAGTAGCAAGTATTTATGCACAACTTTGAACACAATGTTGATCGTGTTTTCAGTCGAACGTTCCTCAGAAATAACCACCGAGTCTCAAAAGAAAACAAGTAACTAGGCTGGAACAAAATTCATTTTCTGAGGCAACATTACATAACATATGGATTCATCAGTAGTCAAAAGACATAAGAAAAAGGACGTAAACTGTTTGCTTCTTCACTCTCGACATCTATATCGGCCCGTCCTACTTATAATAAGAGAGTAACACCCTCAACAGACAAACAAAAAAGTGTTCATCTTCTTCAGACAAACCACTCCACTCCCTTTCCTTAAGTCCCAAAAAGATGTCTGTCCACTGGTTGAGTATCCAAACTCTTCACAACATCCATCCATGGTTTCTCTATCACGATGATCGAATTTGTAGAAAGGTGACCCACAAATAAAACTGGGTGCTTCGAGGGTAAGATTTCAAAGTTCTTTCTCTCACTACTCTTACTCCTCAACTGATACTCATCTAACCGACGTTTCCGGGTTTTACCCATTCCTAATTTCAAGCCCATGTTGACAAGTTTACCTTCTAGCATTTCAGAAAGTCCGCCGTTAGGTAAATCATTTTCTTCATCTTCTTCCACAGGTTTCCCAAAGTCGATCAAACACTTTGCCCTGCTATGCAGACACAACATGCAGGTGTTACAATTTAAAGGATTTACTTATAGATGTAGATTGCCTAGGACAAATAGTGCAACCAGTACCTTGAACTGTAAACTATTACAGACGATGAATCTGGCGACGGGGAGAATGAGAGCCCAATGACCTCCCCAGGAAACTCTTGGTACCTCTTTGGCAGAACAGAGGTGTGTAACAATGACCACTTGCCCAGCTGTCTAGCCTCCACATCAAAAGCAAAGACCTGGTTCGAAGAGGTTGAGATCACAAGCACATTGTTGTTCCAGGGATGAAAACCCGCAGCTGCAATTGATGCACCATCAAGCCTTGATATGAACCAGTGTTGTCTGTCAATTAAAGCCAATGTCAAAATTCAAAATCAATACAAAAGTTAAAGCAGCTGGTTTGAAGCATGGAGGCTGTAGTCATTACTCCATCTGCCCACAGTACCATCTGCTGGAGCATAATAAACAAAAGCAAGCAGCAAAGCTTCATAACCCCCACCTTTGTGTTTCAAGGTTGAATACATAGATGTCCCCAAAGCAATTGATGGCAGCTAGCCACTGACCATCTGAGCTAGTATACAATTTTGTTATGGGAGGCTCCCTAGGTAATGATTCACCTTCATGCTCCTCCCGGCATGGTGTGAATGCATATACAAGCTCCATACTACTAATGTCGATACTCTGCCAAACAAAATATGATTAAGATGTTCAGGTGAATTACAACAATACAAATCATATGAATACAGTTCCAGGACGTACATATATCTTTCTATCATGCCCTGCTGTTATCAGCCGAGAGCAGTCCGAACTGAAAACCATGGAATGTGCAAATGGAAGTACGGGCAGCCTCCTTCTACTGACACTCCATGGACTCTTTGCAAATTCACTTCTCCTCAACTCAAACAGACTGGGACCAATTTGGTCAGAATATGCAAAAAGTGATCCTGTGTTAGAAATTGCACTGCATATGATCTTCCTGGCATCTCTACTTTTTACACAAACCAATGGCTTTGTTGAGGCACGTCCACTAGAATCACTGCTTACGTGAAGTCGAAGAATATCTAAAGTACAAATACCCTGAACCAGAAGAAGAGAAGTCTGATTGAACACAGAATTATGTACCATTTGCATGGGTACTCTCTGAGGCGCAGGACATATATCATGTGGGGAGAACTTAGTAAACTCCTGAATTGAATAAGCAAAAAGCTTCGCATCATCACCAGCAGAAATGAGCATCGGAACACCCAACTGAGCCCATTTATGGTAAGTAAAGTTAACCCGTTTCTCTTTTCTACGATGTTTACGACTTATTCCATGCACACTTCTATCTGACACTTTATCATCATGAAAGGGATCTGCAAAAGCTTGGGGGTTAATAATAATACAATTACTATAAGACAAAGCAGCTTCTAGATATATATATTGCTAAGTAATCCCAGAAAAGGAATTTTATTGCAAAGCATACTTAACAGGAAATCCTCAAATTCTGAACAACTGCAACACACCAAGTATCTAACCTTCTCGACTAATTGGTATAGCAACAGTAAGAGCTCGGATGTCATGCGTATGAGCCTTTACATAACCAATATAATCCCATTTCTGAGAGAAACAAGTCTTCATATCTTGAGAACCATTTGTACCACCAGAGAGCTTATAGAGAATAACCTACATATAGGATTTTCAGGAAATTAGAATGGTGAAACCATTACAATATGAGAAACATAATAAACATTTCACAAAAGCAATTTCAGAGTTTTGCTGAATTTTCACAGTTGGCTTAGGTATCTGTTTCTAGTTTCATCATAGATACCTTTTCTTGCCAGAGCGAAATATTTGAATCAACAAAAGGAATTTACATCAGAGGAAACAGGTCTTCACAATTACCATGATAATCTAATACACGGTCAACCATTTCTAAAATCATCGGTTAGATCTACTTTATAACAGTTACTGCATTCTAGTAAATATCATTCACCTGTCCATCAGCACCAGCAGAAAAGACTCTATTATGGCTGGGGGCTGCTGCAAGAGTATTGACATCACCTTTGTGATTCGAGTGTGTTTCCAAAAGGGTTCCATGCTGGCTATCCCAAAACTGGACATTACCTGCACTATCTCCACTGACAAGAACTGCACACCTAAAATAAGCATGTAAATCATCAGTAAGACAAAAAAGCAGATACAGAGTTAAAGCTGAACATTATTAAACTGTGTACCTCAAAGAGAGGAGTGACCAAACACAGATCTCAGACCTAGTTCCCAGTCCTCCAAGGCCAACTGTAATTCGGTATACCTCATGAAAGAACTTAGCGTCCCAGCATCTGATCAGCCTACAAATGATTATCAGGATGCAAGAAAAAATTACTCAGAAAAAAGATTAACATTGGAATGTCGTCTCTGCAAGTAAACAAGTATACTTTATGAAATATAACAAACTCACCCGTCACTGCTACCCGAAAAGATTCTCTGTGCGTCTGGACTCCATGTCACACTCAAGGCACGTCCTGTGGAGATTATTACCCACGGAAGTCTTAGTAGACAAAAGGAATGAGGATTGATTTTATTCTAAGAGGGGTGGTGTAGATGTCTTACCACCGACCCTAGGCAATGATCTATAGTATGTTAACTTGTTGAAGTCAGAGATGCGGTACAGTCGCACACAACCATCATCACAAGCAGCTGCAAGAAGCCTATCTGTTGCCTCTGCTTGTTCATGAAACCCTTCCGAGTCAGTATCATACTCACTCCCATTTTCTTCCTCTTTATCACTTGGGCATCCATTCTCCAACCGCAGAGAATTACCTTTTGCATCAATGGAGGGAACAATAGTGGGAGCTACAGCCATTTGCCAGATTGAGATTCCAATTGACTCGAGCACAATCTGCAGAACATAGAGGGAAAAAACAATCGATACATAACAAAGACTGGATACGAAAATAAGAGAAAACATACGTGTAACGATGGATGGCATAAAGAGCTGACTCTAAACAATAAAATTGATAACAACAGAAACATTTAGAGAAAACGAAGCAAATGAGCGATTGACCAGCAAACCATACAAGTCAGAAGAGGCAACCAGATAATAAAAATTCAGAGATGCTTACCTCCTGCTTCAAGTCGAAAAGATCCCACTCAGAAATAGTGCCATCTATGCTCGAAGAAAATAGCCGACCAGAAGGCAGCCCATTAGAACCAGCACGGCACCACGCAAGGGACGAGATTCTGGAATTTGGATCTCCATGAATGGTCTAATAAAAAATGGTCGAAACCCCCACCCCCAAATCCGAAAGAAAAAGGTTAATAAACCAAAAACACAAATCAACTCGACATACTTCACGAATCCAATCGACTTGCTAAAGAGCTAATCGAAAGAGAAGAACAAGGTTCCAAAAGAAACCGTAGAGTACGTACGAGTTGACAGTGCCATCCGACGGCGCCGGGGGAAACGAGCCAGATTTCAAGAGAACCGTCCTCGCGAGCCGCGGCGACCTGAGAGTTGTCGACGCTGTTAGCTAGGGCTACCACAGGGGATGGCTTCCAATCAACGGAGCTGCACCGGTACTCAAGCATGACGGGGGATCAACGAAGAAGAGGAAGCACACTCTTGACCGAGGCAGTCTGCGAGATGAGACACGAGGAGGCGAATCGGCTAGGTTTTTCAGGGTTTTACCTTAAGGGGGTGGCAATATAAATGGATTCGGGT